AGAACACTTCCCCAAAAGATCCAGGACAGATCTCTCCTCAGATGGTCGAGCTCGGACTGGCCAGGAGCGGTCCAAACGCAACTCGAATGCATCGGCCTCGACATCAGCTTCCTCTGGCAAGCAGGAAGATTTGTTGAAGATGATTGCAAAATTGACCTTGCGTCACGAAGACCAGATCAACGAACTCAACCTGGATCGATCGTTCCTGATCTTTGCTCAATGTGGCCGTGGCAGCTTGATGCCTCAGATGCTGGAATGTTCAGCCTCTGGAACCTTGGGAAACAAGCAGGCGAGGTCACCACATCTTTGCGCTCGACCCTGTTCCACGAGATGGTGAAGACCTTAGTCGACAGAGTTGGGAAACTGAAGCTGGAGCAAAGCGACGACGACTTGATCCAGCAACTCGTTGCTCGTGGAGTGCTGACGGTGGACCGTCGATGGAACTACTTGGCCTGGGATCCCAAGGCTTTGACTCTGAAGCCTACCAATCGAGAACCCATCAACTCCCAGGAAATGGCCCAGATCCTACAGCGGTTATTAGCCTTGAGTCAAAACCAGATGCTGGTGCATCGCTTTGCAGCACTCAGACCTCTTCGACAAGACTCTCTTCCCCAGGATGCAGCAGTGGCCATTCCTTGGAAACTCGACATAGCTCTTCGCACACCCGAAGCGAACGAGTTGTGGATCCATATCCAACGCCTGTCAGGCAATGGCATCACCCAACTTGCATTGCTCCGCATCCGCCAGGCGGGCTTGCAGAGGAGCCCCCTGGCTGCGGCAATCTCGACCAAGCTGAGGAGGTGATACGCTGGGTTCGCACTCACGCATTGGCCTCAAATGGAGCCACATGCTACCTCGAGCACTCTCATTGCTCAGATGTGGGCTCAGGCCATGACGAAGTCCTTCACCTTTGAAGCATGGGATGCATGGCAAATACCTTTGACCCGTTTGCTGCAGAGTACGGCCCTTGGGCCATTGGATCCATGCCGGGAAGCTTACTTAGGACTTGAGCTTCGTTCATGGTTTCTTTCACACTCTCCACTGGCGCAACATGACGCTGGTGAGTTCATGGGATGGCTACGGGAGGCCATGTTTCGGCAAAAAATCCGACTTGCACCGTGGCCGTTTCAGGGTTGGGAAGCCAGACTTGAAAACAATGTTGAGGATAGAGGTACCACCCTCTCTCCCATCGTGCTTCGTAACTTGCCACCTGATCATGTACAGCTTCAGCAGCTCATTCACGAATGGTGTGCCAGTCAACCATATGTCAATGAATTGCGCAGTCCCTGTTCAGCCTTCAACTCGAACGATACTCCGCATTAGACCAAAAGAATCTTTGTGCAGTGAATTGGCAGCAAACTCAGGTGAAGATGCCACTCTTCATGAAGAGTGAAGGCCTCTAGATCTGCTGGATTCCATGCATTGTTGTTGCTGGAGTTGCTCACTTGGGCTCCTGCCCTACTGAAGGCCACTACAGAGCTGCCCTGTTCCATTCAGGTGAAATGCTGTCAGCTGATGACTTTCAGCTGCCCGCCCGTTTTGTCCTCATGATTTTTGAGCACGGCTTGATAGCCACACTACATCGGATGTCGGGGCATGCCGCCCTAGAGGTGGCCAGGAATTTGCAAGAGCAACTTCCCGCAGCCCAACACGGGCGAATGAAGGATTCGATGAATGAATGAATGAATGAATGAATGAAATGAATGAAATGAATGAAATGAATGAAATGAATGAAATGAATGAAATGAATAAAATGAATGAAATGAATGAAATGAATGAAACGAATGAAATGAATGAAATGAATGAATGAATGAATGAATGGATGAATGAAATGAATGAATGAATGAATGAATGAACGAATGAATGAATGAATGAACCAATGAATGAATGAATGAATGAATGAATGAATGAATGAAATGAATGAAATGAATGAAATGAATGAAATGAAATGAAATGGAATGAAATGAAATGAAAAGAGATGAAATGAAATGAATGACTGAATGAATGAATGAATGAAATGCATGCAGTCTGAGATATGCTTTATTGGTGTGCAATGCATGCAGTCTGAGATATGTTTTGTTGTTGTGCAACGCATGCAGTCTGAGATATGTTTTATTGTTGTGCAATGCATGCAGTCT